AATTGGTTCTGTCTTGAAGACAGTTAGCTTTTTAGTTTGAGTTCTACAAAAATTAATACAGTATATCATGTTGTGGTACACTGAGTTGGAATTGGCTCATAGCTGACCCTCCCACAGGTTTTCAGAGGCAGTAAGTATGTCACCTGGGGGAAATTGTCCATCTTTCCCCCACAGAGGCACTGATGGATTCAAACCTGTGTCTTTGTGTTGACAGCATAGCTCCTTGTCACTAGGCCACCAGATAACTCCCTACAGGAGCTGCAACGGGCGTGGGTGGGGTACACACACACAGCCCCCCCCCACACACACACACCCACTCCCTATGGACTACAGCTGTACATCCAGAGCTCCTCCCGTTTAGACTGATGGATACACACGTGCATGTATTTAAATTAACAACTTTTAACCTAACATTACTTTCCTAAATTCTTGTCCTTAGGTTGTTTTTTTAATATCTTCTTGATTATGTAAAGCAAAAAGTAATGGAGTTGATGAGCTATAATTAAAGGAATGGAAGGAATGTTTTTAAAAACTTAATTAAACCACTGTCAATCTAGAGTTCAAGGGATAGTCATTGTTTTTTTAAATTGTCTAGCATTTATATGAGTGTTACGAGTATAAGCTGTTCTTACAGTAATTATTCTGAATGAGTCAAGAAAAGACTGATGTGTCATTTTCAGTCTTGGACAATTACAAGAAAGAAGGTGTGAAATAGATTTAGACTGATGATGTAATTGTACAGATTTTTTAAAAAATTTAGTTACTGAAAATGGCTTATTACATTTTCTTCAGCATTCAAATAAATTACATTATTTTATAATAATGTTTACATTGCCTTGCAAAATTATGGATTTCAAGAGTTAATTTTTAAACAACTAATAATTTGTTTTACATTTATGTAAATCTTTAAGTGTACAATTTTAGGTTACCTTTTAAATTTACTTATATATCCTGATGATGGTTTACATAGTAATAGTCCTTGGCAAGGGGATTTCCATAATGGAATTTTCAGCTTCTATTAGATAACACATCTTGAAAGTTGTAACTTCTTCTTTCTGGTTAAGAGGTAACATAAAAAATTTTTTCAGATCTTTTTACTGGCTTGTTTCTAAATTGCTTTGTTTTTGGAAATGAGTGTACTTTGACAGAATCGTACTAAAAGTACGATGTTGTTGTTGGTGTGTGTCAGCGAGTCGGAATGGACGCAAAGCTGACCCTCCAGTGAGTTTTCAGGGGTGGTTTAATTGCGTAAGAGGAGATTGCCCATCCTTTCATGGAGTAGCTGGTAAGATTCAAACTATGTGCCTTTGAGATTGCAGCTCAGCCTCTTCCCACTAGACCAACAGAGCTCCATAATTTGTGTGACTTTTCCTACAGAGCGTCAGCCTCATTGCCATGGATTCAGAACCTACTCATTGCTGACCCTCCAGGCTGTAGATTACACAGGAGGAGGCAGCCAGTCTTGCTGTCTCTGAGCTACTGGTGAATTTAAAACACCAAAGGCAGTGAGTGCTTTTTGGTTAGCCGCAACCCCCCCCCCCCATCTGATTCCTGAAGTCAGCTTAGTCTTTAATGCCTTTGGATGATAACGTGCAAAATCTATATTTTTCTGAAGTTTTCAGTGCTGGGGTTTTGGACACAAAGTGTCCTTCACATGGAGCTTGTTGTTCTGAAATTGTGTCCTTGCACAAGTAGTAAGTGTCTTGCTGGGAATTGAGGTATTTCCACAGTTCTTCAGTCATCTTTTTTAAGCCCACTATCCTTGTACTACACACATTCTTATGCTTTTTAATTCTTTTACAATTTTAAAGTCACATTTTTAAAATGATTCATTAAAAAAATATTATAATCAAGAAAAAAAGGAAAGTGAACTGAGCAAGGGAAAGGCAAGAAAATGGGCAACAATGACTGACTGAAAATGCAACTTTTCTGTAACCTTTTGTTAAAATCACAATTAAAAGAAAAAATTTTGTTTTAAAAAACCCCACTTAAAAAATTAAAAATTACTTACAGATATTTTCCTACTGTCTGCGTTGATCATAGATCAGGTGAGGTATGAAGTTACGTGTGACATTTCAAGGTGTTTGGTGTGGATGAGATAACACTCCACCATTGAATGCTGTGATCTGGGAGCGTCTTTATGAGGTTCATTAATTCCCAGCTGTTACCGAGTTGTTTTACACGCCATAGGATTTTCAAGTCTGACTTTACAGTAGCAGCTGCTTTCTTATAAAGCAGTTACAGGATTTGACCAGCTACCCTTTTGATTATTAGTTAAGCACATAAGCATTTGTACTACTCAGGGACTCCTAAAAGGGTACTTCTTGTTAAGTTCGGTTGAGTTGGAACCAACCCAATGGCTGACCCTCCAGTGGGTTTTCAGAGGCAGTAAAGCGCACAGGAGGAGATTGCCTATTCTTCTTCGCAGAGCAGCTGGTGGATTCAAACCGTGTGCCTTTGGAATTGCATACAAGTTCTTACCACTAGGCCATCAGACCTACTAGTTAGATACTATCCTTGGAAAAATTGAGACAGTAGTCATTCAGATAATTTTTATATCCTCAAATTGGGCCATCTTTCTTCCTTTCATATTCTCTGTCCTTAAAATAGGAATTCCTATAATGTTTTAACTGAAATGATAGTATGTTTAAATTCTCTATTTTATGTGTCTAAATAAGTTATAAGTGGTGTTAGTTGCCAAAGTCAGCATTGATTTATAGCAATTCCCAATGCAGTGTAAAGAAATGTACCCTACTCCTGCACCACTTTCAAACTTCCTGACATGCTCAAGTTCATTGCTGCAACCACTAGGGTTTTGACTTCAATGTAGGGACCTCATATCCCAGCACTACTTCTGCCCGTATTGTATTCTTTTTTGACAGTAGGTTTTCATCTGCTCCTTTTTAGAAGTAATTGTGGAGACTTTGTTTCTTGATCTGGAATCTCCTGAAACCTGTTGAACCCAGTGACAGTTACGTCTGCACTACCTGTGGCATAGCTTCTAGCATCATAGCAGCACCTGAGCTACCACAGTAGGGCCCACTGAGGGGTGGGTGGTGGAGCACTGTGATTAGCAGCTATAAATCTTGCTTTCAAGTTTGATTCAGTGTCTATAGTGACGTGAGTAACAGGTTTACAGAAGCTAATTTTTGTTAATATTATTTCATAATAATGTGTTCACTTTATTAGAAAACAACATAATGTAGTTGTAAAAATATCTAATCTGAAGTCACAAATTTCCCAGCTAAGAATTCCAGCTCTTTCACTTGTTTATATAATGTTAGGCAAATCCCGTATTAGATGATGCTGTCCCATTTTACATTTGAGGAAACTGAGTCACTGTTGGTCACTAAGCTGTAGTCATTACTGGGAAATAATATGTTGTTGTTGTTGTTCCTCCGTGCCGTCGAGTCATCTGCAACTCACAACGACCCTATTTACAAGAGCCCTAAACCCTGCTCTATCCTATGCCAACCTTACTGTCTCTGATAACACCTACCCCCGTTACTCCAGTCACTGAATCAGTTCATCTCATTCAAGGGTCTTCCACTCTTGCTCTGTCTCTCCACCCTTCCAAGCATATATAGGTGTAAGAAGATCTAATCTGAAGTCACAAATTTCCAAAATAGGAGTCCCAATTCTCCTACTTGGCTGTATAACATTAGGCAAATTCCTTTTTTTCTTAAATAATGTGTTCCTGTTTAACAGTTGAGGAAACTGAGTCACCCTTGGTCGCTAAGCTGTGAGGTGTCAGGAATAGTTAAAATTACTGCATTTTGTTGAGAGTTCTCTTTCAGTAATGTATTGTACATAAGGATTCCAACCTGATTAATAAGTACGTTAAAAAAGATGCTTTAGATAAGACCATTTCATTTTTGTTCAGGCCTCTAGCCTTGTTTGTTGCTGCCAGTCTGAAATAGGTAGATTTTCACACTGTGACCTCTCTGTTGTCCTGTGTTTCGTTCTTCAACCAAGCCACTCCTGTTGTTAAGAGAGCTTGCCTTCTCCAGATGGTTCTAGGTCCTCAATCCCATGATAGAGGCGGAGTGCTGTCATTTGGGCTGCACACGCTCAGCTGTTGCTGTTTTAGTAATTACTCTTGCCCTTCAGCAATTACTGTTATTTTTCAGTCTACTTCATAAATAATATATGTTGTAGATACGAACAGCTCTAATTTTTCAGCATTGTTAATGATTACTTTCTGGTGTTGATAATGAGATTCCTATTTATATTTTTATGTTTGCTGTTGGTGCTAATAGAGATTTTCTTTTTTAAAGCATTTTGTGGCTTTTAGATCTCAAATGTACTCTTTGTCTAAAATTATCTGTTTCAGAAGGTTCTTGATGTTTCAATCTTTGTATTTCAGAGCTTTTCTTTCTGACTGTCACTTTGAGATTTGTTTTTAGAGAATCGCTGTGGTAGAAATAGTAAATCCACTCTTGCAGCTACTGTTTTTTGGCCGTGGTCTCTGACACTTGCTAAACAGGTTGCTTATGCTGTTGATCTTTATTTAACCTTAATTGTAAGAGATGTACAGAATTACCAATTTGTAAGTAAAGAAAATGGACTTTTAAGAAAGTTCACTGGTTTATCTGAAGTCACACAGCTAGGAAGTGGTCAAATAAGAACTCTTGTGCAAGTCGGGCTGAGCCCTTAACCCCTGTGACGGCTTGTGTCATTTACCAGCAACGTATTTGTACACTGGTTCTGGTGGGGCTTATCGGTATTCCATTTCTGCAACTAAAAAAAGACAGGAAACATAATTTTGTGCAATCTGGACACTTATTCTGGAAGCTGACAGTATCTGCCGCCTCCCTGAAATCTCAAGGACTACATGGCTTGGCTGTTTGGGATGCAGTGTTGACTTTGGGTTTGTAAAGATTGAGCATGTCTGCCTCTTACGTATTTCCACTTCAAACAAATGTATGTATTTTTCTGCAGTTCTCCTCTGGAAATTGGAGTTCTTTGAACCTAATGGTTTTGAATTTGCTATTTTGCAGACTATGTCTTCGGCAGTGGTACAGTTATATGCAGCAGATCGGAACTGTATGTGGTCAAAGAAGTGCAGTGGTGTTGCTTGCCTTGTTAAGGACAATCCACAGAGATCTTATTTTTTAAGAATATTTGACATCAAGGTGAGTTTGGAATTACATTAAACTGGGCTTTGTGCATCAACTATAAAGAGATACAGTCTTTTTGTTGTTACTGTTGTTGTTATATGCCGTCAAGTAGCCTGTGACTCATAGCAACCCCGTGTATAAACAGCTGTGAACCCGGCGCTATCCTGAGCCAATTTCATTAACACACTTAGGCCCAATACCCCCGTCACTGAGTCCAAATCTGTCTCATCAAGGTTCTTCCTCTCCTATGCTGTCCTTCCTATGCATGACCTACCTCCCCAAGGACTGGTCACATCTGTCCAGAGTATGTCAGACAGCTTCAGAATCCTTGTCTCCAAGGAGCAGCCTGGTTTCACCCTCTCTCGGATGAATCTGTTTGTTTTCCTAGCAGTCCATGGTATATTCAGTACTCTTCTCCAGATTTAGAAAATTTGTTCACATATATAATATTTAAGTTATACTACTCTTAGAAGGGTAAACTTGATTTTAAATATTGCAGTATGAACGTGTTGAACCGTAGACTATTGCCTCTTCTAAATCAGGAATCGCCCCTGTTCCATCCTTTGCTTTAATCTCTCATAGAGCTGGTTATAGTTTTGTTTCAAGTGATGCCTTTGGATCGTGCCCTTTCTCCACAATCTCTCCTTTTTTAATAATTTTCTTTTCTTTCATCCTGTCCATTAGAGACTAGCACACATATTCCTTCCAGGGAACAGTAAAAGTATATTTTAGTTGGGTTTGTACTATTATCATTTACTTCAGCCCAGGTTTAAAGCAGCATAAATTCCTGTATCTCTGTATCTGCTACTCTGTTTTCCTTTTTGGTATTTCTCAACAAGGTACATTCACAGTTTTATGGTTCCATAATCCCTCACTCTCAATTACAAATTTATTTTGCCCACGTGAATGTATCTTACAGTTGCTGCTCTTGTTTGTTGTTATGTGCCATCGAATCAGAACCGACTCATAGCTGACCCTCCAGTGGTTTTTTGAGGCTGTAAATTGCCCTGTCCATCTCCTGAGGAACAGCTACTGATTTCAAACCACATGCCTTTGGGTTGGCAGCACAGCCTCTTACCACCTGGCCTTGAAACCTTTTTATTTGCAAGGCCAACTCTCCATAATTTCTTGTAATAAGCCTCGTAGGGGTTAATACTTAAATAGGGCAATAAAATTCATTCTCTCTCTGTCTCACTTTTAAAAAAAATTTTAATAATTTTAATGAACATTTACAGAGATTTTGTATTTCCATTCATTCATTGTTGCACTTTTCTCCCTGTTCAGCCAGCTGCCTCCCGCCCACCCCCAAATTCCCCCCACCCCCCATTCCCGTTTGCTCCTCTCTTTGAAAAAGTAAAAGAAAAGTTCTTTGGTATACAGTTCCCCCCCACACACACCCCTTCCACCGCCCCAGATACACTCCACTGTGCACCCTTAATTTCTGTCTCGCTCTTGTGCGCGCGCACACACCCTCCTGACTTTACACTTTGCTCGCTCTTACTTTCTGACTGTAGTCAATCTTGGTTTTACACCACTGGGCTTCAAATTCTTTATGTGCAAAATGGGGTCACTTTCTGGGTCTTTCTAACTAGGATTAAATGAGATTTTAGTTACTGTACTTTCTAAATTAGCACTTACTCCACTGTACCCCCAAGACAGTGAGAGATGTGGCATGCTTCTCTTATTGGAAGTATTTTACTGTGACCGTGATTGTGGTGGGTGATTGGGGATCAAATGCATAGATTGAATGAGACCCTAAGTCCTTTGATATATTTTTCATCACCAGTAAGAAGCCAACATTTAAAATGGAATTCACATACAGCTCTGTTGAGAAGACGATATTACAAGTGGTCAAAATGTCATGTTGTTATGTGCCATCAAGTCGCATGGGACTCAACAGTGACACTATATCCAACAGCTCTGAAGCCTGCCCTATTCTGAGCCAGTCTCACTGACTCTGATACACTTACCCCCATTGCCCCAGCTACTGTGTCAGTCCAGCTCATCTGGGGTCTTTCTGTCTTGCCTTTTCCAAGGACCAGTTCCTCCTGGCCACATACACGAAGTATGTGAGACATAGTATGTTTTAAATATTTTTTAGTTTTGATGTAGCTAGAACCTTGCATTTTAGAGTTTTGATTTCATTTCTGGCACCACTCATTTCCAAGAGTCAGTAACCTTTGTAAAACATTCATTATAATCTATCTTGGATATCAAGATTAAATATATTTTTGGTACTGTAGTTGTTGTTAGGTGCTTTTGTACCGTTGTGGTATTGTTGGGAGTCAGGTCGACTGTGACTCAAGCTGTGCTCAGTAGATGTGAGCCTTGCCTCCTCCTATACGTCCTCACAATCTCTGTCAAGCTAACCCCGTTGTCGTGGTCATCACGTGAGTCCGTCTCCTTGAGGATCTTCCTCTCTTGAAAGAGGTATTTCTTACACCGTGGCCACAGCTCTAACAGTCATCAGTGATTTTATCCTTAGTTTAACCATGATGAATTTTAATCATCAGTGCTTTTCTTCCTTGTGATTGATCTTGTTAATCCCAGTGTTTAGTTAGGAAGCAAACAGACATTCAAAGGTCCCTAGTGCAGAGACAGTCTTACCTGGCCCTCCCAGCATCTACAGAATTGATAAAACAAAACATGAAATATTCCTGTGATATCTGATGAACCAAATTCCTAACCCATTGCTATAGTGTCATTTCTGACTCCTAGTGACCCTGTAGATGAGTAGAACTACCCCATAGGGTTTCCACTGTCATCTGCAATCAAATATTCTGACTCATACTGTCCTTCTAAGACTGAGCAGGACTATAGCCCGTCAGGTTTGTGAGGAATCTAAACAGGAGCATACTACCTCCTCATCTTTCTCTAGAGTGGCTGGTGGTTTTGAACCATTGACCTTTTAGTTGGCAGCCCTGCATTTATCCACTGTACCACCAGTCAGCTTTACTAAGGCATATTGTTGTTAGATGCTGTCAAGTGACATAGCAAAGCACAAATATTACTGATGATACTATTACTGGTTATTGGTACATGTACAAAAATATCCTACTCCTATATAATAGCAGTTATCTACTGATTGTCCTAGTTAAAAATATAACTAAATATATTTGAGCATGCTTAATTGATGAAATTATATCTTTGCATACTGAAGTCAGTTTACTTATGATGATGTGTTAGGAAAGAATCCTCATTTAGTGTTTTTGTTCTTTTGTTAAGGCCATGAATCATGGGAGGAAATTGCCTACCTTAATTTAGTTAATTGCAGATATTAATAGGACATTTTTTATTAACAATCTAGTAGATTACTTATACATTGTAAGTATGTGTGGCATTTATGTAGATAAAAGTTACTATTAAAAATCCCCTTCCTATGAACTGTCTTTTTTCTGTCATTCCTAGAAAACTTTTTTGGTAACACATTTTTCCTTCTTTTTTAGGATGGGAAACTATTGTGGGAACAAGAACTATATAATAACTTTGTATATAATAGTCCTAGAGGATATTTTCATACCTTTGCTGGAGATGTAAGTTCAATTTTCCCTTACTGCTATTAGTGTAGTTATTTTTCATTTGTCTGGAGAGCGTTTTGTATAAATATTGCTTAAAATGTAAAGAATTCTTTTTCTTTTAGCAACTTCTTTATTACATATTGTATCTAAATAGGAAGAAGATATTCCTGGGATTTTAACACATTGCCACAAATAACAGTAATACATGGGGGGGAATGTTTCTAAGCACTGTCCTCAATTTAAAAGTGTACGGCAACATGTTAAGGGCCAAAATAAACGAAAGGTGGGAAAAGTCAAAAGAGCATTTAAAATAGAACCTACTGTTACACTATTATAGAAAAGAGATTCCCCCCCCCCCCCAATTCCTATCTTGTGACTTTGGGGCAAGTATTTTTAATTTCTTTTGGCCTTAGTTTTGCTATCTGTTTTTTTTTAAAAAGAGTCTTAAGTAGCTAATAATTCATAGTAACTTTTAAATATTGAACATGTTACATAGCCATTCTCTTTTATTTTGTGGAAGGGTGTCTCTCATTGCTGTCTCAGAGACCCTCTAGTGGTAGTTCTTCTTGTTTACTGCCGAGTCAGAATCAACCCATAGCTGACTCGCCAGTGGGTTTGCAGAGGCAGTAAATGCGTAGGAAGACCGCCCGTCTTTCTCCCCTGGAGCTGGTGGATTCAAATACATACCTTTGCATTAGCAGCAGTTTCTTACAGCTATACCATCAGAGGATGTTAAAATACAGTAACTGGGAATGAGGTAGATTTAGTTATGAGACTGACAATTATTAGATAACAAGCCACCTTCCGGCTAGATTTTCAAAGTTAATTGTATATATGAGGGGGAAACGCTGGAAGGTGTTTTTAATATCAAGTTTTTACAGTTATCTGAATTGGTAAGTGATTTTCATTTTCTTTGTTTTGCATTTCTCTAAATTTTATATCTTGAAGGGAGGAAAAAGAAACTTGGGTTAGATGACATATCCATCTCTTCAGAAAACAGTTTCTTCTCTACCTTATTTTTCTTTTTAGGTTATAAATTTAAGCTACTTATAATGGAGCTGTGAACGTAATAAGATAAACTCATTTGACTAACTTTTCTAATGCTTGCCTTTTTAGCCTACTGAAAGATCAGATTCTGTTTGTCGTTTTCTTTTTTTGTGAATGATGAACTACTTCATTTACTATGTGAGCACCTTCTATGATAGGCAGTAGTCTTTTTTTTTTTTTTTTAATTTCTTTTTGGCAGTAGTCTTTTGTGCTTTGCCTTAAACATTAAATTGCTCAGTTCATAAAATAATTTTTGTCTCCTAGTAATGTCACCTTTCTTTCAGAAATGTATTTCTACTGGTCATCTTTTTCCTGTGCTCAATTTGTGCATTTTCTTGTTTATTCTTTTGATGAAAATATTTCAGACTTGTCAGGTTGCTCTTAATTTTGCCAATGAAGAAGAAGCAAAAAAATTCAGAAAAGCAGTTACAGACTTACTGGGCCGGCGACAAAGGAAATCTGGTAAGTTTTTTTTTGTTTGTTTGCTTGTTTGCTCCTCAGAACATATAACTGAGTTTCAGCTTGTAGACCAGATATGGCCTGTTGCTTATTTTATTGAACTTTTATTAAAACACAGCTATGTTCATTCATTAACATACTGTCTGTTTTCATGTTATAACTAGTTGTGTCATGTGACACAGACTATTATGGCCTGTAAAGCCTAAAATACAGAATAGTTTGTTTTGCAAAAAAACCCCATGTGCCAGTTCTTACCTTAAAGAAATAATGTTTTTATTAGAAATAGTTTTTCCATATTTATCTCAGAACCCTTTCAATAACTTGTTGATTAAAGTGTATCTTTGGATTTTAACTTTGCACTTAAGTGGCATTGTTCACAATGTTAAAATAATGTTAAATACTTGATAATATTGTGAGCAGAGGCTATGGATGTGACTAGAAACCAATAAGCAGAATCACAAACGGTCCAGTTTTACCTTGTCTGTATTTTGTCCCTCAAGCTGTAAATTATAAAACCATAAGGATTTTATGATGTTAGCATGAGTTGATTCTAGTACTGTAAACGATTACATATGCAGGGAGTACAGACCCTTAGATTTATTTTTTATTGAAAAATGTACCAGACTTTCTGCTGTCATACAAGAGAAGTGATTAGGAAAAGTGAACCCTCAGTGATTAAAAAAAAAGGAAAAGTGAACCCTTCTTAAATGTTGTTTTCCTTCACATCCGTTTTAGAGATCTCACATGAGTGTTGAGATCAGCAAGTAATCACTCATTCCAGAAGCATTTGCTTTCCGGATATGTAAATAACAGCACCTTGAGAATTACCGTACATCGATCGGCATGGCTAGGTCTTCCTCACTTTCACGTGTCTCGGAAGGTCACTTTATCAGACCAGCCAGGTGGAGTGGCACATTAGTATTTCCCATTGTTGGGTTTCATATTCGTCTTCCCACTTCCTCTCCACTCTTTCCATCCATCTTTTTCTGGGGAGTTCTGTAATTCCCTGTGGCATCTCAGAAACTCAGAATGGCTGGTGCAGTTGTAGAGGCTTGTAAGTCCTATATCCCCTGAGTTTCTCGGCATCTTACCACTGTTGCTGCTCCCACCCTAATCAAAGCCCCCGCCATCTGCTGTTGGGATTACCGCTGCCAGGGTAGCTCACAGACCAATCTCTCTGCTCTTGCTGTGGCCCCTCCACAGTCTCTTTTACATTGTAACCAGAATGAACTTTTTTTCCAAAAGAGAGGTTAGATCTTGTCATTGTCTGTATTCAGAAACTTCGCAAGAGCTTCCCATCGTGTGTTAGGGAGGGGCTGATGACTTGGCTCTGGCTCCTGGTGACTCTGTGTACAGTAGAATGAAGCCTGCCCGACCCTGCGCTGTCCATATGGTCTGTAAGCCCATGTTGCATCCGCTCTGTCAGGCCCCTTCATTGGTTGAGGCTCTTCCTCTTTCTTCCTGTACCAACCATGCGGTCTTACTCCAGGGACTTGCAATGCCCCAAGTCTGTGAGAGGAAGTCTCACTGTCCCTGCTGCAAGGAGCACTCTGGCCGCACTTGCTTCAAGATGGGATGTGTGGGATCTGTTGGCATTTGGTGGGATAGTTAATATTCTTTACCAATACCCCATTAGTTCTTTAACAAGACCACATTTTAGACTACAGATTGATTTGATTCTGTATAAGATAGGATAAAAAGGGTTGAAGAACTTGCATATGGAATAAATCCATAGGCAAGACCCTGTATGGTCAATCCCCGACTTTCCATGCCTGTCTCACTCTGCTCTTCCTCTCACACCAGGCTAGCCTTCGTGCTTGCTCTTCTGTGGGGCCTTGTATAAGTTGTTTTCATCTCACTTCTGTCTGCTTCTCAGAGAAGATCGCCTTATCTGCTTGTACCTTCCCTCAGAAATAAGAGACAGGTTAGGTGAATTAGCATTTTATGATGTCATATTGTGTATGATTAATAATAATCTTTCCATTTCGTTTATTTTCTAACAGAGAAAAGACGAGACCCTCCAAATGGTAAGTGTTTTGATAATTATTGGCCCAGAGATTTTACTGTTTAATCCTTGTAGAAGTGTATACCATAAACTAATGGTTACTATTTACTATGATCAGATATAGTTTGATTATAGTTTCTGTTCTTATTTTAAAATACTGAATGAAAGATGAGACTTAATAGACCATTTTTGGGCTTTTTTCTAGGACAAAGGAGGTCTTATTCTGTATTTACTATTGACTTAAGTTTAGAATCAATACAATCGGATCTTAAATCTCTTCCTTAAATACAGTAACTTTTGCCCTGCTTATTTAAGACTTTCCTACTTTAAGACTTACCTTTTTTTGTTTATTTCAAAATATTATTTCATGTTTCATTAATATGAAACTAGCCCCTATTCAGTATTAAAGCTTACTGTGATGGTTTGTTCAGAACTAATAGTATCTACAAAGAACTATCAT